CCCCCCCCCCCCCCCCCCCCGCCCCGGGGAGTGTGGCCGCCTTAGCCCCATCCTCAGATGAAGGGGGATAGTGGAGGGCAGGGCAGTGAGGCACTGGCTCAGGCCACTGTAAGTGCACCCAGCACAAGGCACTGCTGGGGACAGGAGAGGGAGGCAGTCTGTCCCTTCTATGCCTGGGCCCGCACCCCTCCAGGACTGCACATCTAATGCCAGGGCACTCAGAACTCCTCGCGGCAGACGACTTCAACCCCAAACAGGTCAGGTGCGGTCCCCTCAACACCCCAGGCTCGCAGAGCAGCTGACCATACCGTTGTCGCCTTTGGGCTCCCTGACGGCGGGGGTCGCAGCGCTGGCCAGGGTCCTGCCGCTTGGCCGGGCCCGCCCCGGGGTGGCGCTCTGGAGCACATGCGGCCGCAGCGGCCTGGGCCAGACACCTGGGGAGAGAGCAAGCCGGTGGCGCGCGCGCCCGGCCGCTGTCCCTGCGGGCCTGGGTCCGGGCGCGGTGGGTGCTGCATGGCCCGCAGGCCTGGGTGGAGGTCCCGCTGCCCCCGCCCCGGACCCCCCCTCCCCCGTCCGCACCCCCCGCCCCTGACCTCCGGCCTGGAGCCCCGCCGAGTCCCCCGGGAATCCCGCCCGCGCCCCCGGAGTCCCCACCCCAGGAACCCCCCGCCCTCGCTCTGTGTCCCCCGGAGCCTCCCGCCGCGTCTCCGGGCCCCGCGCACTCTCACCCGCGCCGAGCAGCCGAGACACGGACGCGGCGGCCGCCATAGCGCGGAGGGCGGACGGAGTAGGGACGAGCTCCTGGCGCGGCGCTCCTTCCGCCGCCGCCGGCGCCCCTTCCGCAGCGCCCCCTGCCGGTCCGGAGGTGTCTCTGCGCGCCCCGCCGCTCGGCCCCCGGGTCGCGCCCAGTGGGCCCGCGGGCCTCCCCCGGGTCCGCACATGCAGGCCAGCGAGGCCGAGGCCCGGGCCCGACTTCGGCCCGCCGCCGGCCCAGGCGCCACGGACACAGGAGGACGGAGCCGCAAGGCGGGGTCGGCGCGAGCGCGGGGTCTGGGGGAGTGTGTCCTCCGGCCGCGTCCCCTCAGCTCGCCCCCAGCACCCCGCACGAGCCGCTGTCCCCTTGGGGTCCCTCTTCACCTCCTGCCAGTCCAGCACAACCTGTCGCTCTCCCAAGGGGGATCCCATAAGCTTAGGCGCATCCGGAGTCTACATTTAGATTCCGGGTACGAGGCGCGGCGTGGGGGGAGGGGAGAGAGGGCATGACGTCCAGGGCCGGGGACACCCAGGCACACGGTAAAGCGGCGTGCAGGGCTGGAAGTGGGCCTTCGGCGGGTGAAGGCCAAGACCTGGGGCCCCCCTGCAAGTAGGGGAGCGGCGCCTTTAAGGCCCTGTCGCCCAGTCAGGTGACCAGGCCGTCGCCGGGCAACGGGACGCCGCGCCGGGGCCCGCGCTCTCCCCCTGCGGCCGAGAGGTCAGGCTCATGGCCGGAGCGAACCCTGGAGAGTGCGAGTGCGCGGAGGCTGCGGAGCCCCCGGCCCCGGAGCTCCCGACTCCGGAGCCTCCGGGCCCCGCCGCCCCGCAGAGAACCAGCGACTACTACCGCATAGACAGGGATCTGCCGGCCAGGTTCAACAACCCGGCGTGGTTCCGGGGCTACGGGTGAGGACGGAGTCAGGGGCCACCTGGCACGCGCCGGGGCTGGGCGCCCGCCCCTAGGCCGGCACGCACGAGTCCGCAGCCTGCCCTCGCGCCCGAGTCAGAGGGCTGGTCAGCCGTTACCACCAAATGAGCAGAAAGTGCTCGCAAGCAGGCGCGAGGGGCCTGCAGTCAGCGCAGGGGGGTCGGGGTGGCCGGGTAAGTCCTCTCTCTCTAGGCTGGGAGGAGCCTCCACCTGCACCCTGGGACGCTGGTAAGCCCCTGCCCTCCCTCGCCTAGTCTCCCCTGCAATCCTGTGCACTAGGGGCTGTTTTCCTGTCTCAGGACAGGCGCTGGGGTGTGGGAGGCATAAGGCAGAGATGATGTCTGAACCACAGTCACTCAGCTCAGCTCTGGGTCAGCATCAGAGATGGCAGGCCTGTTTTCTCCCAGAGGCTCAGGAGTGGAGGACCCCGCCTCCTCAGCAAGGGGCAGCAGGTGCCAAGACCTGCCAGGGCTGAGGGCTGCTTTTGCCAGCCCCCTTTAGGGCTTTGGCCTGCCTTGGGAAGGGGCAAGGGCAGAGGGGAGCAGCGGAGGCAGGGAGGCTGAGCCTGCCTCCCACGGGAGCCCACGTTCACCGCCGCCTGGGGCATTCCCAGCAGAGCTCCATCAACCACGTATTTTAAGGCTGTAGCTTGGGCAGAATTAGAATAAGTGAATGGAGAACAGAGTGTGTTTCTCATTGGCCAGGACCAAAGAGCCTGTCTCCGTGTCCAGGACCAGTAACCAGGCTTACGGGAGCAGGGCCCCCAGCGTGCACGAGATGCCGGTAAGTGGGAAGCACGTGTGTCCGGGGGGCATCTCGAGGGGGAGGCTCCCACCCCTGATTTCTCCAAAGGGGCAACACATCGTGGGGGGCGGTACGGAGGGGCCCAAAGTCCCAACATCACAAAGGGGCCCCTCAAATCCTTTTGAAATAGGGCAGGGTGGAAATGAATGACCAAGTGAATTTAGCAACTGCGGTGTTGTAAGGGTGAAAAAGGCGCATGAAGGCTAGCTCAAGGCGTCCCCAAAGACTGGCCCCTTGCACACAGACACCATCGCCTCTGGCACCTTAAGGCAGTAAATTTTGGGGCAAATGAGTGATCATCTGCTTTCTTTTTGTAATAATACCCGATTTTAATTAACTTGTGGCCTTAAGAGGCAGTACTGGCCAAAATCACAGGCTGCAACGGGACAAGGCATATTGGTGGATCTGGGGAGCCCCTTCCCCCTTTTAGAGATTGGCTTTGCAGTCTGGAGGTCTAGAACCGCCTTCTAAAACTCCCCTGAAGCCCCTCCTGCGCCCAGGTGAGGGGCCAGATGGACCAGCGTAAGCATCCCCAGGCCAGCAGGGCCACCTGTTTTGGGTGACAGTGTGGGTTTTTTCTCCAAAATAGTCATCCTTTTAAGAGATCTGGGTAAATTGCTTATTTACACGTTTTACATGGGGGATAGAGCTCTTGGGAGATTACTTGTCTAGAAAGTTTCCAGAGGGGCACCTGGATGGCTCCGTCCGTTAAGTGTCTGGCTTCGGCTCAGATCATCATCTCCCGATTCGTGAGTTTGAGCCCTGCTTTGGGCTCTGTGCCAACAGCTCTTGGGTTCTGTGTCTCCCTCTCTCTCTGGCCCTGCCGCTCTCACTCTCTCTTAAAAATAAATAAACACTGAAAAAAAAATTAAAAAACAAACGATACCGCGAGGAAACTGTTCTCTGCCATACTGTAACGGTCATTATACATTTGTCAAAACCCACTGGGCCGTAGAACACAAAAAGGGAACCCTGATGAACTGAACGCTGTGGTCTTAAGTTACCGTACCGTGTGGACATGGCGACATCGGCTCAGCTGTAAGGAATGTGGCCAGGGATGCTCAGGGGCGGCCGTCTGTGCCCTGGAAGGGGACGTGACATGTATGTGGAAACTCCGTGCACCACACTCAGTGTTTCTGTAGCCCACAGACCGTCCTAGGAAAAGCCAGTCTGTTAAAAACATGCACTGAAGCCATTTCTCCTTGTACCTCTTTCCTGCCAAGGAGACAGAGAAGCCAGTGGTCTTGATAGGAGGCTCACCCGTCCAGGGTGAGAGATGTGGCAGAGCTCGGGCCCGGGCGTCCCAGGGTCACCGGATGCTGCCATGCTGCTGGACTACCACCACCCTAGCCCTGCACACACGCCTGGGCTTGTCTGTGTGTGTGCCTTGCCGCACCCTCACCTCACTAGGGCAGCACCTCCCCGCACCCCTGCACTGGTGGGGTGTGGGCATCAGGAGTGTGTCACAGCCTACGGGGGATTCGCATACACACTCAGGGCTGAAACCCCTGGGTGCTGAGTTTGTCTCTTCTCTACAGAAGAAGAATCTGATGTTCAGAGAGGTCCAGATTCGTGTCAGGTGGCACGGTTGGTCCGAGCAGAACTGGGGTTGCTTGGGGCCAGGTGTGGCCGTGCTATGCCCAAGTGGCCCGTAAGCGGTCCTTCAGTCCGTGTGCAGCGAGTGGAGGCACTATATTAGTAACTGTTCCCAGACATCATGTATAAATTGGGATGGTCTGGGGGCTCCTGGGTGGCTCTCCTTGGTTAAGCGTCCGACTCTTGATTTCAGGCCATGATCTCCTGGTTCATGGGATGGAGCCTCATGTGGGGCTCTGTGCTGACAACATGGAGCCTGCTTGAGATTCTCTCCCTCTCTCTGCAGCCTCCTGAGCATGTACTCTCCCTCTTTCTCTCAAAATAAATCAATAACATTTTTTTAAAAAAGTAAACTGGAATGGCCTGGGCCATCCTGCCCACCCTGACTTCTCTGGTTCTTAGGAGTGGAGATGCCATTTTCTACAAATTCTTACTTTTCTCCCAGAAAGGCCTGATGACTGGCTGACATCCCATTAATTGTTGTGTCCTTTTTCACTTCCAGAAAGTATTTTATCCAAATTCAGATAAGTTTTCCAGACAACTTGCAGCTGGTGGAATGTTCCGGAACAATACTTTGAATGTCTGTGTGGAGAAGAGCGTTGTGACGGGTCCTGACAACTACATCACCTCCTATGACCGGTTCAACTTCCACCCCAGCTACAACGTCCACAAGCCCTCCATCTGTGACTGAGAGGTCGGGGGTCTCCCGATGGCAGCAGTGGCGGCCTGAAGTATTGCCCTCACTCTCCCATAATTTGCCCAGCTGTGAACGTGCAGACCTCACTGCTTTCCCTGAAAATGTTCTCTCTTTACATTAGAAAAACATGCAGACAGGGCAGTACCGTGCTACGTTTTATGTGCTGTTTTACTTCTGTGACGGGAAAGATGTTAATGGCTTGACTTTCCATTAAAAACGTTGCTGTATCCTGAATTTCTGACTCACCTGTAAGCAGGGAACAGGACCTGGGACCCAAGTCTTGGCCTGACACTAGGAAGGCTTGGGTAACCTCACCCCTGTCCCCTATCCCCATATCTTGATTGGAGCCGATTTGTACCCCAGACAGATCCCCGAGGGAGTTTCCTGTTCTAAAGCGCCCTGGCGGAAATGGGGAGGGCCCCTGCCTGGGCCGAGGGCAGGGGTCAAGGGGGAAGGGCAGGAACGCAGCCCCTGACGCGTGCTGGCGTGGAGTCCCCAGGAACGTACTCCTGGCCGGTGCCTTGCGTGGTTGGAAGGGGTGATGTGTCCCTGGGACTTCTCCTTGTGTTCATTTCCAGTGTGCAGTAAAACGTTGGAAAAAAAACAAAACAAAACCCCAGCAGGTAGAGAATAACACATTTTCCAGGTGCAGTAGTAATGATATTACGTGCACTTTGATTTCTCTGTAGTCCTCGATCGACTGATGTTTGCTAGGACGCAGACGGTCCTCAATGAGAAGAATTTTTCTGTGCCAGTGCGTATCGTTCACACACAGATCCCCCCTCCCCCACTTCCTGTATGGGAGCAGGACGTGCCCATCACAGGAAATCCAGAAGGCACCGGCTCAAGACAGAAGTCAAGGTCATGTTCCACGGGTGCTATCTCCTCTACGAAAACTGCGGTCCCATCAGAGTGGGGAGGAATGAAATGCCATGACTGGTTATTTCTTCATTAAAACCTCTTTGTTATTAATACAAAAAATAAAACATTTTGGCAACTTTCTTAATGTCCCATTTGGAATGGAAATGATTTCCAGAGAAAATCAATAATCTTAATAAAAAGATGCAAAGCTGAGTCTGAACCCAGGGTCTAGGCCTTATGTTTCTTAGTCCCCAAACCAGTGGGCTCTCCGGGGTCAGACTGAAAATTAGTTTTTACAACCTTCGCTAAAAATACCCAAATCCCGAGAATGCTGCTGTGTTTAGCATGTGTTGAAATAAGCACAAGAAAAAGAATGCCTTTTTAACCAAGTTTCTACACTCACCGGAAAGAATGAACTCCTCCCTCAGTAGCCATGAAAAGCAGGTTGGGGACTCCGGGGAAGGACAGAGTTACTGGACAAAATAACTCATCAGCGTGGCTGGTGAGTGCCACGCTCAGAGAGGCCGGCCCTATGGCTGGCTGGGGGTGCCACGCGAGCCAACATCACCAGACCAAATCTGCCAGCCGGCTTGGGCATCCTAACAGGTGCTGGGGGCTGTGACGCGTCAAAGCCGATAAAGTGCCCTCTCCGTGAGAGCCGCTAGTGAGGTAAAGCTAGACTCTACGTGCATTATAAATAGAATAAATGTCTGGGAAGATGAAAACCGGAAATAACTTTGCTAGAACCTATATGCCCATCTTCCCAAAAGCCCGGGAGCGTCTCCAGCTCAGGCTCCTGGCGCCCTCGCCCTGGCGCGCACCTGTCTGCTGGCTTGGGTTCTCGGAGGACCTTGACATCACCACCTGCGGTGAGTCCCAGGCCTGCCCCAGGCCGGAGCCCGCCTTGGGTGCGTCTGGGGAGGCGCGGCCGCTGGCAAGGGCCCCCGCAGCCCTGCCCTGACTCTGCACACAAGTCATACAGGAACCCCGATGCCTAGAAACGTCCCTTTTGGCACATTTTCCACCAGGAATCTTCATGTGTTGGGCGGAGAGAACAGTGTTTAGATGGCCAGTCTCACGGAAGGCTGCGGGGCCACGTGCGGGCCGGGTGGCTGAGTGGCGGTTAGGACCCCCCACCCCCCATCACTCCCTGGCTGCGATCCTGACTCCTCCCAAAGTCCTCACTCCGAGCCACAACACTTAGAGAAGAGGCGAGCACGGCATTTCCAGACCGTGACGTCAGGAAAGCCTGTCTTCACTCACGAGGAGGCTTGGCCGAGTCAGGCTGTTCCCTTCTGCCATGAGACAAAACACAGAGAAATGCAGAGAAACATGCAACACAGGCTTTTGCTGGGTCAGCACTCGGTTTGGCTGCTGGGTGGGGTGAAGGGCGGCAGCTTCCCACACTGAACACACATTTCCACATTTGTCAGTAACTCGTCTTTCAGGTACAGTCCATGAGAATACGTGGTTTCACACACACAGGAAATGGGTCCATGCTGGGGGGAAAATGTGTCCGGAGCACAGAAGAGCAGAACCCCCCCAAGATTCTGTGAACAACAAACTATTTCCCGATTCCTGGTCAGCCTCGCCTCGAGCAAACCTGGTTGTGGCTTGCAGAGTGGGTGCCAGGTCCCTTAAACAGTCCCTGAAATTAATTTTGAGGGCGGTGGGGGCGGTGATCGAGGTGGCAATACTTTTCATGATTTTAAATGAGCAGACAAGGTGCTAGAACTTAAAGTTCGGGCCTGATTTTCCGAAGCGAGTGTGTCTCAGCTCCGGACACTGGCTGAGATTTCAGATGCTGCAGCTCAAAGGGAAGGAGCGAGCCTTCTCCAGGAGATGTGGGTGGGGGGCCTCACAGCCTAATCCCCAGGTCCCCCTTCCAACTGTGCCCATTCTTTCCAGGAAGTACCCTGGAGTACTTGACACCACTTAAAAGCAAGCCTCTCTCCTTCTTCGTGTTAAATGAATGATCCTTTGACCCCCAGCACACAGACTTCTCCTTCCCTGGGAAGTGAGGCTTGATTTGAGCACACGCAGTCCCCGCGCACATGGTCCCCACACACACACAGGTGGGTGCACCTGAGGCACCCGTGCAGCAAGTCCCAGGACGCTGCTGTTTGCGGCTGTGGCGTCAGGTCCCACTCACTCACCCCACCACGGTCCCCTTCCCAGAGAGGGTGCCGGGGAACCTCTGGCCTGGGCCCCAGCATGCCCCAGAGCTGGCCTAGGGCGTGGGGTCCCTGGGAGGGCTTGTGCCTGGTGTGTGTGAAAACAAGACATGTGTGAGCAGCGGTACCCCAGGCAGAGTGGGGGTCAGCGTCGCAGAGGCCGCGGGGACCCGGGAGGCAGGAAGGAGGCATGTGTGAGGCGAGCCGGGCATGGGGGAGGCGGTGAGCCACAGAGGCAAGGGGTGCTCAGGGCTGAGGACACGGTGGGTCCTCGGGTCCCCACCCTGCCCCACAGAGGCTGCTCCAGGGAAGGCAAGCCGCTTCAGTGGGTTCATGAGCAGTGCTTCATTTATTTGCATTAAAAAAAAATCCAGTTCTTATATATAAAACAAGCTGATTTCTGTTTCCAAGTGTTAAAAGCACTTCTTAAAAATTAAATAAAATTTATGGGGCGCCTGGGTGGCTTAGTCGGTTAAGCGTCCGACTTTCGCTAAGGTCATGATCTCGCGGTTCGTGGGTTCGAGCCCAGCATCGGGCTCTGTGCTGACTGCCAGCTCAGAGCCTGGAGCCTGTTTCAGAGTCTGTGACTCCCTCCCTCTCTGACCCTCCCCTGCAAACGCTGTCTCTCTCTCTCTCTCTCCTAGAAATAAAAAACATTTAAAAAATTTTAAAAAAATTAAATAAAATTTAGAGCATGGATGGCACAAACTGTTTTTCCTGGGAGCACCGAAGTGACTTGAGAGCCGGCCAGGGAGCCGGCATGCGCACCCTGCAGGTGTGGGCGGGGACGGGGGGAGCGGGCTGAGTGCGCACTGGCGCTCCCCGGCCTGCGGGTGCGGAGGGGCCACCGCTAGAAACCTCACAGGCGCGTCTGAAGACGAGGTTCAGCTGCCACGGGAGCCTTGCTCCAGGCCTGTCACAGCTGAGTGCGACTCGGGCCCACAGACAAAAGTCTGCTGGGCAGACGCATGTCAACGTCGTGATGGCTGAGTGTCCACCCCTCCTGTCTCCCTCCCAAGGAGCGGAAGGCAAGGGAAAGCCACACAATTCCCTCCTTTGCAAGGTGCCCATGGCTTGTGGCTCAGCTCAACCCCCCACCCACACCCCCAGGCCCGGGCCCCGCCCACAGGCGCGCAGCAAACCACCCATCTTGCCTTGCAAGGCAGGCCCTTGGGAAGCACCTGCTGAGTCCTGGGAGCGCACCCAGATGAGGCCCGTCCCCGGAGGGCCCTGGGCTCTCGAGGCGTCTGGGTACCAGAGCAAGGACAGCGGCCCTGGCCCTGTGTATTCCCTCGTGCCGATCGAGAGGAGGACATTCATAACGCACAGGCGTGTTACCTTCCGGAACTGTGACTCACAAGGAGGAACAGGGGCTCTTGTACAAAAAGAGCTTTATTATTGGGCTGTCAGAACCACACAGGAATTGAACGGGGCTGGACGTTAAACAACAGTCTCGGGCGCGGCCTCCGTGCCATGTCCACATGCAACAGGGGACGGCCAGTCCTGCTCGCTGGCCTTTGTGCTTTGAAATGTTCTCCCGTGGAGGCTGCGACTGCAGCGTTCAGAGGACTCGCCCTGGCTTCGCGGGACCGGGGCCCTTCGTGTCACAAGTGGTGTCCGGGAGCTTCCTGACAGAGGCCCCTGGGGCCGTTTCCGTGATGCTCGGGTGGGCGTCCGCTGCTGCTTTCCCAGGCACAGCCAGACCCTCCCAGCAGCCAGACTGCCCGTCAGGGTCACCTGAGCCCTGGCTGTGACGGCGAAGCCGAGCGTCCACTACTCTAAGACTTGCACGCAGACCAGAGAGAGCTGCAGTTAGGAATGCCCTATGAAATAGAACAGCAGTATTTTCCAAAAATATTTTTTACAGTGCTTTAAATAATTTACAAAAAAGATACAAAAATCCTATCTTCCAGGACACGTCTGGCAAATAACACCATCGCACCCATCGGTGTTCGTACGTGCAGGGCTGTGCTAAGGGGCTTCCGGTGTCTGTTCCAGGCTTGCGAACAGCGTGCGCACACGCTCCCCACCGAGGACAGAGCCAGCAAGTGTCCTCAGGGCTGGAGGACTTTGCCCTTGGCCACCGGGCCGCCGCCCTCCTCCACGGACGTGTCGCTGAGCTCGCTCGAGTCACTGCCCGTGGCGTCCTGGGCCTCGTCACCTCCACCGAGGGCCCTGCGCCTATACCTCAGGTCCAAAATGTCATCCCCCGAGCCCGAGTTCCTCCTAGTGTGCAGGGTGCACGCTGCCGGTGACTTCCGGCTGGGCCAGCGTCCGCCTTCCTTTTTGGGGAGCAGGTACGAGCTTCCAAACACGGGACTGTGGCCAGCTGGCGTCTCTCTGAAGGCCGAGAAGGACGGGCCCTGCAGCGGCAGACCCAGGGGTGGACTGAAGACGCCGGCCTGCTTGCCCCCCCAGGACACGCTCTTTCCAAAGTGGAATAACTGGGTGGACAGCAGAGAGGAGAAGCCCGCGAAGGGCAGGCCTTTCTTGGGGTCCTGGCCCTCGGGGCCCTGGTCTCTTGGGCCCCCGAAGCCCCCTCTCCACACGGCCTCTCTGCCTTCTGGGCTCAGCGCCCACGCACTCTGCAGCCGACTCTGGTGGGTGAAGTCGGCCCAAGGGAGGGCGAAGCCGGGCTGGGGGTCCCCTAGCCCATCGGTCCCCGGCTTCCGAGTCCGTGGGCTCCGGCCCCGTGTGGTCACGGCAAAGGCCGCACCGGGGCCTTCTGTCCGGATGCCAGCTTCGACACGAGTGGGCAGCGGGCCAGGATCATGGTCTGTGGCACCCTCGGCCCCTCGCGGGCTCTGCTCTCTGTGAGTGCAAACAAGTCTCCGATTGGCCGCAGACCCTCTGGCAGACAGGGCCCCGGCAGTGCTGGCGCGCCTGGCCAGGGCCGCTGCGGGGCAGGCCTGCTCCGCGTGGGGGCCGCTCCTCCTGCCCGGGAGGGAGGCCCTCCCTGCGGCCCCAGGGCCCCTGGCCGGCTGCGGGCCACCCCTGCCCCGCTGGCTCCGTGCGCACACATCGGGCTGAAGGGCCAGGGCAGGTGCAGGCACCTTCCGGCATGGCAGCTCAGGCCTGGGCATGCTCCGTGCCCCCGGGGCGGCGGGGGCCCCTCCTGGGGCTTCTGAACCACTCCCAGACTCCTTGGCCTTTTCGGCCAAAAACTTTCTAATCTCCAGCTCGATGCTGTCATCACTGTCCACGGAACTGCTGTCATCAGGCGGGGGCCCCGGGCTGCGGCCTGCTGCACCTTGAAGTTCACAGGCTGCTGTTTCTCCGCAGAACGAATTCCCCTCAGAGGCTTTTCTCCTTAGCTGGAAGATCGGGGTCGCCTCCAGGGCCCCCGTGCCATCTGCCTGCGTCCTCTCCGCTTCTCTGCAGAAGACGCTCAAAGGCTTTGTTCCCAGCTTCCCCCTGCTGTCTGTTTTGGACTTGGAGAAGCAACTCTTCAACAGATGAGGGCTTCTGTCTTTCCAGTCTTTCTGGAAGCCACCCAGTTTATCCAAGAACTGGGTCTCGGTGGTGCTGAACCTGACCTTCCTCTTGCACGTGACCCTGGGGTCCTTCCACCTCCTCTTGAGCCTGCGCCTGGACCGCAGCAGGTCCTTGATGGCCGTGTCCAGGTCCTCGTCACTGTCCAGCGAGCTGCTCTTGTCCTCTGAGCTCCCCTTCCCACCGGTGCTCCTCTCCGTGGCCTCCTTCCTGTGGCCGGGCCACATGCCGCTCCTCATGTCTGGGCCACCGTGCTGGTCGCCCAGCTCAAGCGGCCTGCAGGAGAGGGGCTGGCCCCTGGTCTCGCCCTCCATCCTTGGGGCCTGGCTGGGCTGCGTGGTCCCGGCGCCGTGGTCTGCAGCCTGGCCACCCTCCTGCGCCACCTCTCTTGTTCTCTTGGGCGTGGACGGCCGCACAGCGTTGCTGCCTCCTCTGCGTTTCCTTCTGCAGCTCAGCGACAGGCCCAGCGTTTTGGACACTGGGACCCCGGGGCCCAGCGATGGCGGTGGGCTCCGTGCAGACTGCGGGTGGCTCTCCGCTGTGGCCAGCCAACCCCCCGACTGAGCCTTCAGAGCCAGGAACGTCCGGATCTCCTGCTCGATGCTGTCGTTGCTGTCCACGGAGCTGCTGTCCCCGTCGGAGCGGGCGGGCAGGGCCAGGGGGCAGGGGAGCGGGCTGGCAGGCGGCGGGCTCCCTCTGCCCCCGACGGGCGCTGGCAAGATCGTCTTGGAAATGTCCAGGATCGCTTCCGCGCACATCAGCTCGGCGGATGTTTCTGCCCGGCATGGTGGCCGTTCCACATGCTCATCTTCCGCGCCCCTGGGTTCCCTAGGTGGCTTGGAGGGGAGGTCGGGGTCAGGGCCACCTGGGTCGAGGTCCGTGGCCTTCGGGGCCATCAGCTTCTTCCTGCTTGGTGTTCTCCGGGGGGTTTCGGGCAAGGCACCTTTAGTGGAGTGGCTCGTGCTGCGGGTGGGAGGCTCGGACCCCTTCCCCTCCGCGGGGGGAGTTCTCTGTGGTGGGTCTCCGCTCGCCTCCTTCCTCTTCTCCAGCTGGTACAGCTGGATGGCCTCCTCGATGCCGTCGTCACTGCTGGAGCCAGACGCCTCGGGCACCAGGGCTGCGTTCTTGGCTTGCTTCGCCCTCCTCCCGGGGCCGGCGTTCCTCCTGACGGCACCCTTACTCTGGGCTGCTTCTGCAGGCTGGCTGGCGGAGGCAGCGGCGGCGGCTGGCTTCACGCCATCCGGGCGCTCTGGCTCCGCAGCAGCCTTAGACCGGAGGCCTCGGGGCCGCGTGCTTACCTTCGACAGCCTGGGGGGTTTCCGGAAGACAAAATCTCTGCAGGCTCCGGTCACATCCTGTCGATGATGCGCCTTGACCGTTGGCTCTTTGCCAGATCTAAAGGCCGACCTGGCAGAATTATCGCCGGGGTCTGGCTTTCCGTCCATGGAAACATCACCCCTTGGGGTCTCGTGCTGTCTCTTCTCGTTCAGAAACTGCTCTATCTCAGCCTGGATGCTCTGCTCGAAGGAGTCGTCACTGCTGACGCTCACCGGGGAGGCAGAGCCCTGGTCCTGGCCAGCTCGCACGCGGCCGCCAGGGGCGCCTCCTGAGCTGGGTGCAGGCTTCGGGGGACACACGGCAGTCGGGGCGCTGCTCCGAGGAACCTCCGGTCTGCACCGCCGGCCCCCGTCCGTGGCCCCAGGCGGCTGGGCGGCCCCGCTCTTGGCCTTGAGGTACTCCTGGATTGCCTCTTCGATGTCCCGGTCCACGGAATCGTCACTGTCCGAATCCAGCACCAGGGGCCCAAAGTCTGCAGCATCCTCCTCCTGGGAGGGGACAAAATCGGCGGCAAGCCCACAGGCGGCAAACGCGGGGTTGGCGGCCAGCCTGGCGTCCCGGCCTTTCTCTGCCCTCTGGCTTCTCTGCAGGGCAAGCTCATCGCTCATGCCCAGAGCAGCCTCGTCGCCCTGCAGCGCGCCGATGACCATCTGCACCCGGGCCCTCACTGAAGCCCGTGAGACGCCCTCGTGCGGCTCTGAGAAGCACCCGGGAAACCTAAAGCCCGGCGTGCCAAAGGCCTCCCATTTTGCCTGGAGAGCAACCACAGGAGGGGTGTTCATGAGAAACATTCTAGCAGACGGGGAGGGACGTGCTTTATTTCTCTGCCCGTTTCACATCCTGGGAGGAAAGAGGGGGTACCGGCACTGTGTCGGCGCACGCTGCCACGGAGAAACAGCATGCCAGGCCGGAGTCCAGGGAGCCGGGGACGCCGGGCAGGTCTCTCATCCTGTCCTCTGTCTGCGCAGCTGCAGTGCGGGGGCAGGTGAGGACCGGCTCCCGAGCCATGGGCACCGGGCTCACACAGAGGCAGCGCACGTGTCTCTCCCCGTCCCTGTTCCTACCTCGGCCTGCCGTCTTCTCGCGAGGGAAGCGAGCTTTCATTTACCGCAAGAGGGCTGTCAACAGGTGCCACCAGGATCACGCCACAGGTTAAAAAGAATGACTGTGGATCCAAGCTTAATGCAACTTCGCAGACAGTTTCCTCCGTGATGGGAGAAACAAGCTCCTGAAATAAAAAGTTACGGGCCATGAGCAATTAAAAAACGAATTCCCCAGACAGTCTTTAAAGAGTCATTTATCCTAAGGCCTTTTTGTTTCAAAACTGCCAGGCAGTCTTATAGGCTAGTGTCATCACTTTTTGCTAATCAGCAGAGCTGTCCCACACTGTCCACGCGCGCTCTCTCATCCCGCGTGGCTACTCCGGGTCCCGCATCTCGGACAGAAAGTGGCTGCATCGGCGGAACTGCTGGGCTGGTCCTGGGAACAGTTCGAAAGGCCTGTTTGCAAACAGCCCTTCCGCTAAAGGTCAGGGACCACCAATGCAGAGGGGGACACGATGGACACTGTAAGGAGTCGCTTGGAAAATACAAAACACGTCCCATACCTGGTAATTCCAAACCTGTTTTTCTGATCTCTGATTTCTGATCCCCCCACCCCCACCCCCATTGGAATGGAAAACAGCCATGATGCAAGACAGCCTTGTAGTACTGACTGGAGCAGGGAAACGGAGTTCCACCCCAGGACAGTGCCAGGCATGGCCGTCACCGCCCTTGACCCCCAGTGGACACTGGCCTGTGCATCTGCTTTGCTTTCAACACGGACCCTTCTCTACCAGGAGCCTCCGTCCTGATGAGCACCTCTCTTCTATTTACACACCACAGTCCTTTCCAAGAAAAGCGTGGCCAGCAGCAACCTGGGCACAGACTTGCCCAAACACGTGCAACCAGCAATTAACCAGAGGGCCCGAGAGGTCTGGAAGGAGGCCGTCCGCTATCACGGGTTCGTGCCCCCAAAGTGAAACTATAACGTAAAGGCATTTATTGTAATCATTTGACATTCCCAAGGCCAGGTTCAGTGGGATGACACCCACTGTTTCAAAGCATTTCAAGAATTAGGTCTTTCTCCCCCTTTCCCCATTCTGTTCCCTTACCCACTTTTAAAATAGACTTTTGACTGCCACAGGGTAAAGAAAATCAGAAACATCTAATTCAGAGGCTGAAACTTCAACTAGTAAAGATTTTATTTATTTATTTATTTATTTATTTATTTTAAGAAAGAAAGAGCATTAATTTAAATTGAATTTTGGAAAAACTTAACCCTGAGACCAAAGACAGTTAATCACAGCGAATTCACAACTATCCTGGGCCTCAGATCTGCTACTGGAGGAAGTAGAACTATCCACCAGTTCTCAGGCCCTGGCAGCCCACTGCAGCCCCAAATCTCTCCCGTAACACCCGCACGGAAGGCTCCAGGGGTCACAGGGCAGTGGGGATCACAGGGGTGGGGAGACCGCCTGTGCCCACCTTGCAGTGGGGATTATTTGAGCTGCCTCAGCAAAATGGCAGAGATCATGAGGTGTTCGCATCAGCCTTGGACTGTGAAGAGTCTATATCGAGACCGTTACCTCCGTAAGCAGCAATACAATTTTTAGATGCGGGTGCAGCAATGAACCCAAAGGCACTGGGCTGCAGTGATTTCTACACCAGGTTGCAAAGTTGGGGGAAGGACAGACACTGCTCTCTGCTAACTGTGTTCACCGCGTTCCCGTGGCTGCAGGGCTGCTGAGAGCTTAGACTCCCAGTGAGGAGGATTCTGAACTGTCAAGTCACCTAGTGCAAGAATGAGGTAAAAAATTCACAGGGAATCTCCAGCGACAGCTTGTGGCTTTAAAATAATCAACTACATAAGATGAATCATTCTAAAAACTCCCTAAAACTATACTTGGAGAGAACTGTGAGCTGAAGCGAGGGGCTCAGGCTTTGTCAAATAGCCACCCTGTCCACCGAGAACCCCAAACCAGGCCTGGCGGGGGGCCCGTGGGGACACCCAGCCCTGCACCCCAAAGCCACGCAGTGCCAGAGCTGAAAGAGGGGTGGGGGGACACAGGCATCTCAGACGGGTGGGGAGGTGGGGTGGGGGATGTGTGGTGGGACAGACCTGGCTTATCACCTGAACAGTCCGGCTCCTTGCACCAAGTGCCCCCAACCACATTCTCGGCTCACCAAATGTGGTTCAGCTCCCGTCCTTCCCCCTCAGGTGGCAGCTTCCCCCCTGGGGTAGGGAGTTGAGGGTCAGGGTACCAGGCCCAGAAGGAGAGCCTGGGGGGACCCCAGGTGGGCGTCGGCCTGCCAGGAGAGAAGGCTCCACAGGGTCGCCACGACCTCTTCCCCCGCGAGGCTGCCGGGCCACCGCCTGTGTCTGGGGGCGCAGCGGCTGAGACCCTCCCGGGGGGACCCCGGCCCTCTCACCCCCAGCCCTGGGAAGCTCTCGGCCAGGCGAGCGCGGGCACCTCCCGCGGGGCGGGGCCGGCCACCGCCCAGGTCGGCGCCGGGGATGCGCAGGGGGCCCGAGGCCCCGCCGAGGCCCCGCGACCCTCCCGGAAGCCGCAGCCGCAGCCGGGCGCGGGGCGCGGGGCGGGGCCGCCTTTCCGCCCGAGGGCCGGGCCGGCGGCCGTGCTCTGGGCGGGGAGCCCGGCCCGGCCGGAAGCGCCCGCCGCGGGGCCTCACCTGCGCGCACCTGGGCCCGCCCGCCGCGCGCCGCCGGCTCCGAGGGCCGCCGGGACGCCTCGGGGGCGCGCTCCCCGCCCGGGCCAGGCGGCAGCCCGGCGCCCGCCCGCCCCCCCCAACCCCGCCCCGGCCTGGCCGCGCTCGCCCCGCCTCGGCCCCGCCGCCCCCGGCCCGCCGCCCGCGCGCGCGCGCGCCCCGGGGAGCGAGGGAGGGGAGGGGACGCGAGGGCAGGGCGGGGGAGGCGGCGGGCCCGCGCGGGGCCGGGGGGCGGGGGGCGGGCGCGCCGGGGGCGGGGCGGGCGGCGGCAGCGCCCCCTCCCCGGACCTACCGGCGGCCGCGCTCCGGAAGCCGTGCCCGGTGGCTGGGCATCATGGGAATGGCACGGCCGAGTTCCGGGGGAGGCGCGCGGCCCGCCGGACCCCCGCCCGCTAGCGCGCGCCCACCTGCTGGCCGGCTGCGGGGCGCCCCCGCCCGCGCCCCCGCCCGGCGTCCGGCCGCGCCGCCAGCGCCCCGCCCCGCGCGCCCGGGCTCGCTCCGGCCCCGGGGCGCCCCCCGCGCCGGGGAATTCGGGGTGGCTGACGTGTGACCCCCGCCCGCCCCGCCGGAGGCGGGGCCGGCGCTGGGGGCCGCCCTGTCCCCCGGGGTGCCGGCGCGGGGGGCGCGCGCTCCGTCAACGCTGGAAGGTTGGCGGCCGGAGGGGCGGGCCGGAGGCCGGCGCTCGCGGGCTTCTCCGTCCTGACGTCGGTGCCGTGGGGACCGGCCGCAGCGTCGCCAGAAGCTCCTCCGTGAGTGTCCGCCGTGTGCCTGGCACCCAGCCCGCGGCGCCGTCCTCCTCCTCTTCCCGCGCCCGAGCGCGCCCCGAGCCCGCGGCGGACCTGACCTCCGGCCGCCGAGCCCCGGGGCCCCCAGCCCGCCTGCTTCCTCTCCAGGAAAAGCCGCCCCGGCCGCCAGCTGCCTGTGCCTGTAGTTTGGGCCGTGGCTGCGCCGTCCGCGCTTGCTCCTTCACCCCAACTAACAGGTCAGGGACCCCAGGAGGCTGAGCATAGGCACGTACCCCGCTAGGGAGAAGAGGCAGGTAGGAGCCCGCCAGGCACGCGTGGCTCGGCCCCTCAGAAGCCCGTCTGGGCGCCCGGCAGTGTCGGCCCTGGGCCCGGCCTCCGGGCTGGGGTTCTGGGGGTCGGGGCGGGGGCGGGGGGGCAGAGTGGACACCCGCAGCCCCGATCCGGCGGGAGCGCGCGCGCACACACACACACACACACGCGCGCACACACACGCGGTAAGCGGTGTCCCGCAGGTAAGTCAGGTTCTGCGTTGCTTCTCCTCCCGGGCGGCGGGATCTCTGCGGTTTGGGTTTGTGTGCGTCCTTCCTCCAGGCCTGTGGTGTTGCCGGTGCCGCTGGGCGGCCGGGGGGCGGGGATGGAGCCGGGAAAGAAGACACAATTACCGTTTGTGTGTGCATCCCACTGGCCTTCTTGCCTCTGGGGGGCGCACCGGGGCTCCTTTTCTGTCCAGTAAGTTCCCCGGGGGTTGACAGGGTGGAAACCAGAGGCTTTTTCTGACAGGGAAGAAGAAGGGGGGCCATTTCTAGTCTTTCCAGTCTGGGGAACTTGGGGGCCAAGTGTCAAGAAACCCGTTAAAACATTGTTTAATGCTTCAGTGAGTTGTTTTCGTAAACAGTTTTTTCACTGTAACAGTAATACTCATTTGGTAGGAAGAGTGTTGGGAAAATGTATCTAATTAATAAGCTAACCACACAGAGGTTTGGAATATGACTACTTTGGAATGTTTCTTCATGGTTTTTATTTATTTATTTTTGAGAGGGAGAGAGGCAGATGGAGAGAGAGACGGAGAATCCCAAGCAGGCTCTGCACTGTCAGCACAGAGCCCGATGCGGGGCTTGAACCCACAAACTGGGAGATCGTGACCTGAGCCGAAATCAAGGGTCTGATGCTTACCCGACTGAGCCACCCAGGCTCCCCTCTTCATGGCTTTTAAATAAGTGCCGTGATGAACATCTTTGGTGATAGGGTGGCTCCCCACCCCTTATCCGTGGGGAGTCTGTTCTAAGACCCAGGGGTAGCCTGAAATCAGGGTTGGTACTGATCCCTGCACAGACTGTGTTTTCTCCTCTACGAACATACCCGTGACCAGTTTAACGTACAAGCTGGCACAGAAAGAGAGTAACAACAATAACTAATAATAAAATAGAATGACGGAAGCAATATACTGTAATAAAGTCACGGGGCCTCTCTGTCAAAACCTCTTCCTGCCCTGTGCCTGCCCTTCTTGTGATGTTATCAGAGGATTAGACGAAGGAGGTGAGTGGCACCGGCATGCGGCGCAGCAGGGGGCTGCTGGTGACCTGCGGATCCGTCAGAAGGAGGGTCATCTGCTTCTGGATCCTGGGGGTAAGTCTGGACCACGGGGTGACTGAGCTGGGGGGCTGCTGTGTGTCCTAGGAAGTGGCCTGAGTATTCCCTCTGGGTGGTTTCCCAGGACAGACACTGCCGGGCTGGGACATAGACTACCTCAAGATGCCCTCTCGAGGCAACGACTGGTGCCATGTCCCCCACCAGGGGTGGGTGGCCCTCCGTCTGCTGCTGGCTGCTGGCCACTCTGCACATGCCATTTCCTCTCGGGCAGTCTTGGGGAACAGGCCTTTTGTGGGTTTAATTTTAATTTCTTTGCTGACAATGTTGAACATCTTTTGATGTTGTTATTGGCCATTTAGAACGTTGCCTGTGCGTGTTCTTGTGCATTTTTGTTTTCCTCTTGAGCTGTGTGTCTCTTATTCTTATTCCTATTCTGTCTCTTATTCTTGAGCTCTTTTACGGTAAAGGTTTTAGCCCATGTGTCCCCTGCGCTAGCGTGCATCACATCGAGTTTTCAATTTGTCTTTTTACCTTTGAAATTCACATTTTGGCTGTGATGCACAGATTTTAAATGTGTGTGCAGCCAAATCTACCACTTCCTGACACGGGTTCTGGCTTTGGGATGAGCCTAGGGGAGCTCTTACCACGCTAAGATTTCATAAGTGTTCACCAATTTAATAGCTACATTTCACAATAAGAGAATTATTTATGACGAGGGGGGCATGACTCAAGGCTTTCTGTGGAAATCAGAGGCTGAAGTGTATGGTGGGGAAGAAGAGGCCTTTTGAGAGGGCGAATACTCTCTGCACTTCTCTCCAAAGGCACCAGCTTCAGAAACATATGGACCTGCACACCCCCCACACAGAGGCGCGCACACGTACACACGCACACACATGCATGCACACACGTGCATACGTGCATGCACATGCATGCTCACACACATACACACATGTGCATGCACACAGTGCTTGCACACACACACACGTTCTTAACTTTGGGAAGCTTAACCTCTTCCACAGTCAGGTCTCCATGGGAGGCGGAGAAGAGAGATGCCTGTTTGTCAGAGCTCCCTGGCCGTGTCGGGGACTCGAGTCACCCCCTAGACAGGCTCCGGGGGTGCTGGTTCGAGCCCTCCAGTATCAGCCCACAGGCTGCCTCCCCCGTGTCCTTGCAATAGCAGCGTCCCCCCCATGCCCCCCAAGGGAGGAGGGGGTCACTGGCAGCTCTGCTCAGCCCTGGCCCCACGCTTCCAGAAGGACAGTCAGCAGCTGCGCCGTCTTCTAGGCTGTGGTGGGACAGGGAGAGTGGCAGTGGGACGTCTGGTCAGGCCCTGGGGCCCATGAACGTCACTGCTCTCCTCTGTTCTTCTGTTTGCCCTTCTGCGAAGGGAGCAGGGAATCCCGAGGAAACTTCTTGCTACTCTCCATACACCTCCGGGGCGATGGCTGGGGACCTCGGGGACCAGAGTCAGTGCTGGTGGAGAAGCCAGGGCCACTGATTCACATCTGTTTCCCTTTAAAGAGTTAATGATGCTCTCGTAAAGGAATTCGAATGGAAGAAGGCACCTCCCCCATCTCAAGGCCAGTCCCCAGAGGCCCTGGGGTTGCAGGCATGGACCCCCTTGGTGGGGAGTTCCGCGCCCTGTGTGAAATGTAAAATGTGACGGCCCCACGTTGAAACTCTGGCCTGAGGTCAGGCTCCCACAGTCCCTACAGGCGGGTCTCTACAAACACTGTTCTTGGCTCATCAAAGCAAAAGAGGCTCGAAGACCACCGGCAGGGTGGCGGGGAGAGAAGGTGCTCTGCCCTTGCACCCCCAGAGCGGGTCAAGGGGCCTCTTCCTCCAGGTGATGCCGTACCAGGTGGCTGGATTCAGGCCCACGGGCTGGGGCTGCGGTGGCTGGGGTTCTTCCCGCCCACTGCTGCCACGCTCTTTTCATCTCTAAGTCACACGCTGTGTGGCTTCCACACGTGCAGAACTGAGGAGACGTGACGCAGAAGGCGAATGCTCACGTGTGCAGGGGAGGCCGTATGCGCTCCACCCACAGCCCACCGGGTCCCCGTCCTTGCAAATTCTGTTTCTTCCAAACAACCCTCGAAGTCTTTTACTCACAAATGACTTTCAGTGGCTTCTTTCAATTTTTATTTCTTGGGTGTCGGGTTCTTAGAATGGTCCCGGCATGAATTCTACCCCGTTTCTTAATTACCGGCCCGGAGGCCAGCGTGACTCTAAGCTCGCCTGTTTATGGGGTGACGGCCTACGCGAGGGCACAAGACAGACCTCCTGAGCGGCAATTATTGCTGAGGGCGCTGTGCCTTCTAAGTGGGAGACACAGGTCGCCTCCGATGTAGGCAAGGCAGGCAGTTTCCAGTTCTAGATTCGAGAGAAAAATGATGTTCTCGCTCTGCTTCTTGGCAGAAAATAAAGTGGATGAAGACCTTTACAGGGTGGTGTTGGGAAGTGTTCTGCTGTCCGCTCCTCAGGGGGCCTGCTGGCACCCGGGGGCTCAGGGTCGGGATGGGGTCTCCCCCCGCCCCCACCTCCAGG